CCGGCTCAGGAGCTGATCACCGCGTGGCGTGCATGCCCAGCTAGCACCTCCACGTCGTGCGCCCGTGCTCCCTGATGAAAGCCAAGCCAGCGCCTCGCTCACTCCCTCTTCCTCTCGCTATTTCCCCCTCTGCCGTTCTCTTCCACGCGAGCGCGGTGACCGGGACGCCGTGGCAGCCGCCGAGCCAAATCCACCAACACCAAGCGCCATTGTCTGATTCCTCTGAGCCACAGCACCACCGGGAGCTCCTCCACGTCTATGACCCCACCGTCATTCCATTTTCGCCTCAGGTAGAGCTCACCGTGAGCGCGGCTCCACCGGGTCGCCATGACCGCCGCCGGCCGAGCTCGCACGTGGCTGTGCCGCTCGAGCCTCTTACTGCCCCCTAGTTCCCTTGCTTTAGGTCCAGTTAGTGATGCTGATGCTCGTAGGGTAGACCATTAGGGCCGTGATGCCGTCGGCTCGCCGGAGCTGGCCAACCCGCGGCCGTGCGCCGCCATGGCCGTCGCCATTCCCCCTAGCCACCGGAATTGCTGCTATCAATGGTACCCCTAGGTGCACATGGGTGAGGTGAACACGCTGGTACCCGTGGCCTCGCTGGAGCTGTCACCGACGGCGAGCTACCGCCGTCGCTCTTCTTCCCTCCCCTGTCCTTCTCTCTGACTAGCGGGGCCCGCGTGTCAGCAGCCGCGCGCAAGCGGGAGCCGACTGTGGGCCGCGTTGTGTTTCTGGGCCGCGCTGGGTGTGTTGGCGCACGCGTCGCGGGCCGCAGTGGCTTTCCGGGCCGGCCCAGCAGTAGTTGGTTAGGGTTTTCAATTTGTTTTGTTTATTCTTTTTCACAGATTTGTGTACAATTTCAAAAATGTGTATCTCCTAGTGGGTAGATCCAAATGATGTGGTTCCAATTTTGTTGAGTGCATGATAATGTCTAGTTTATATTAAAAATATAATACATGTCATGTTCTGTTATGAAAATGAGAGTTTCTATTTATCTCTTTTAATCATGCAAGAAATAGGGGTAATTATATCTTTTACTAGGTAGCTCCAAATGGTATGAAATTTTTATGGTGTACTGCTCATATCATGAATAGCTTGTAGTTAAATTTTCATAAATTTTGGGCACTGTTTGTAGGAGATAGAAAATTATCTTGTTTGCATGGATGGATCTTGTGTGAATTTTCATAATTTTTCTATAGATCCAGTTAGGGTAAAAATTGGTGAGTACTGTTCTTATGCTAGAATGATGCTAGGAAAAATTAGAAATCTGTTGTTTGACACTTTTCAATAGGGTTTCCTAATTATGCTAAAAATAGACATGCTACCTGTTATTTTGGATACAGCAAGTTCTTTTTACCCAATGGCTTTGAAATTTTTATGGTAGTCTATGTGAAGCATGAGATAGCTACTGTAATTTTTGTAGATTTTTCTGAACAGTTTTACTATATATTGCTTTAATCACCTAATTAACTAAAGAAATTAGAAAAGTGCATTAAATAAATTGTTTAGAAGTTGGCACTAGACTTTCTGATGTTTCTTTGGTATGAAAAACATGTTGGTAAACTTGGTTTGGTCCAATTATGCTTTTGCATCATCATTAAATAATTAATTTAGTAGCCCTGTCATTTCTGGACAGATTCTATGTTTACTGGAATTCGATTTGGTTAACGTAAGAATCATGCTTTGATGTTTACAAATGATTTGTAGAGAATTTCATAAGTTTTCCAGAATGTCCTCATGCAAGTCATTTGGATTTGTAGAACTCTTGTTGTGGTTGAATTAAGGAACTACCCGTGTGCATATGAAACTTTAACTGTTGTTTAAAGTATGCATTTACTATTTCTAAGTTGGGGTAATGTTCCTAGGTGTTAGGCCTTTAACTGAGGATGAGCATCTTTATCTTAGGCTATGCAAGTTAAGTAAGTTGATCTTGTTCTTTAAGTTAAGTTAGATACCTGTTTTAAAATGATTTGAATAGAGCTATTCTTAATCGGTAAACGAGTGTCCAGTAATGTTTTCGTTAAACACTTACTGTGATTCATTCATCATGAGCATCATGTCATTCCTTATGCATCCATGATATTTATCTTGTGCATCGGCATGCAATAGGTGTACCGGAAGGAGTGACCTGCTGGAATTCGAGGAACCGAACGAAAAAGAAAGAAATGATGACACCGGAGGTTCAGGAGGTGCGACCTTCAGAAGAAGTGCCAGACGAGGTCGCCGTTGAGTGCCCGGATCACCATCCGTGCAACTTTGTGAAAGGCAAGCCCCGGAGCATATTAAGCCTCCTAATTTCCGAAATGCGATTCTGATATTATTATTGTTATATATATATATTGTTGCATTAAGTTTAGGTGTTGGATGCAAATACTTGGTGCATTGGTTATCCAATCCTTATCCGAGATATTGATACCACGAATCCTATGTAGCTCGAGGCTCGTAGTGCTTGCTTAGCTCTTAAACACGGTAGAAGTCGGTGATTTCTGTCACTGCGAGATATAGGAAGATACATATGGCACGGTTGGCTATATTTGCTATCGTGAAAAAGAATCGATCTTAATTTGAAATGAAGACCGGACGGAGGCTTGCCGGTTTGCAAGTGATTTAAATTCGTGTCGATTAAGGACTGAATCTTGGAGCCTTTCCTATTCATGTTGAACGCATGCCTCTCTCTTAGTTGGCCGTGTCCGAAGACCGACCACGAAGCCGAGTAGCTCACCTCAGGTCGGGAGTCGATAAGTATAAAGTGCGCCTCGAAAGGAGCCGTAGGCATGAGTCCAAGGGCGGTGATTTAAAAGTCCCGATCGTCTGGCGGAAGAGTAATCCCGAGAGAGTCTTGGCCGATCGAACCCGCGAATTTGGTTCCTAAGTTGTTCCAAAGGTGACCCACGGCTACCCTTGCTAAGTATGCGGGGTGAGAGTTAGGAATAACCCCTCATTTGAGTTGTAATTCGATTCGAGTCGCCGTCTCTCCGGTTAGTGAGAACTTGACGGGCTTATCTCCAATGTAGATACACTAAATAACATAATGGTTCGAGAAATGATGATATGATGATGATGACAAATTTTATTATACCGCTATGGTTAATATTGATTGCTCCTAATAAGTGAGTGCTCTAGTACAGGTGCTAACCTAGTGGACGGAGTAAATGATGATAAGCTTGATGCTAAGTTTAAATTGGTCACTATATTCATAAGCTCTTTTATGCAAAGCTGTGTCAAGCTAGCCCACCTCATAAGCCTTGCATGATCCTTGGTGTCTTTTATTTACGGTTTAGTCGGGTAAGTCTAGGTGAGTACCTTCTCGTACTCGGGGTTTATCTCCCACCATTGCAGATGACCGGTTCTACTTTGGTTTTGCAAGTATTGCCTTCTCCCTATTTGGGGATGAAGACTAGACCGTTGGTATGCGGTCTCTACTATTTCTCCTACCTAATGATGCTTTTATGGGACATGACTAAGATCTGGCAATGTATTTGGAACTATGAAGTTATGTACTAAACTATGTTGCTTCCGCACGTTTAAACTTGGTTTGTAATATGTTATTTGAACTCTGGTGGATGTAATTCGAATGCTACTTGTGAAATGTTGTAACGAATGATGTGTTGTGTTGAATCACTACGGTCTTGGTTGTATGTTGAGAGTTGGTTGAAATCCTTCGTGATTTCCGGACTACCGGGATTATGGGAGCTTAAGTACAAGAATTTCATCGCTTCGGTGATTGTTTTTGTACTTACGTTCTTATGATTTGGTCGGTTCTGTTACACCTCTCTCCAAGTATTTCGTGATCCTCTACAATGTTCCTAAGAATGATAACATCATTAGGTAGCAATTTGTTCTCAAAATTGAAAAGGATAGCTTAAGAACGAGCTCACCTCTAAATTTAATTGTTGTATTTGAGCTCTAATCATTGGTCCTTGCATAACAGTTGGAGAATTAGCGGGTACATCCTAAGGAGTGATGTCCTCATGGGGATGACATTCATGTCCCACTGGACAGATGTCTAACGGATCCCAAGCGATGATGAATCTCTCTCTCCTAGCCCCTCTTGTCAAACACAGAACAAGAATGATCTCATCCCTTCAACAAAAAATAGAGATAGAATCATTCTATTGAAGATCTAAAACGAATTTGGTGTGTCCCTCCTTGTCCCCAAAACAAAGGCAAGCGTCTTCTTGCTTTAAGTTGTGCCTATCCCAAACAAAGATTGTTTATCTTTTTTTTTGCAAGACCCGTATAGACACATACGCTCATAAACATAAGCGTATACTTACTTCTATGAACATACGCACACACAATATAACCAGCAGCAGATGCCTCCCCAACGAATCGGAGTCGTGTACAAATCATAAAGATGGCTTTAGAACGATGGTGATTCAATTGATTATCAATCTAAAAGAAATAAGATAAAAAAAACAAAAGGTAAATGGAAGTTCTAGATTACTAGATAAATCAATAAAAAGGAAAAGAGAAATAGGAGTGATAAATTAGAATATGAAATAATAAAAATACGACATCCATGAACGCACGCGCACACGAACCAACAGCAAATGGCACCTAACTGATCGGAGGAGTCGTGTACTGATCATAAAAGATGGGTTTTAGAACGATGGTGATTCAACTAATTCACAAAATCCAAAAGAAATATGATAAAAACAAAAGGTAAATGGAAGTTCTGAATTAGCAGATAAAATAAATAAAAAGAAAATGAAAGAAAAATGGGAGTGCTAAATTAGCATACGAAATTATAAAAATATTGCGATGCCTGAGGGATTCGAACTCTCGCGGGGAAACCCCATGTACTTAGCAGGCACACGCCTTAACCACTAGGCCAAAGCGTCGTTTGGTGATGACGACAATAAGATTTCTGCCTTAGCTATTTTCAAACCATGTCCGAGTCCAGAACCAGGTTGCCCTGAGCCCCTGACACGGTGACGCCACACTCCCGAAAGGAAACGGCGAAATCCCACCCGGCCACCACGCACATCCGCGCTCCAACCATGGACGCCGGCGGCGCGCGTCCATCGGCACCGTCGGCCGCCGCTGCCGCTGCCGCAGCCGCGGGGGCCTCCGCCGCGGACGAGCCCCGGGACGCGCTGGTGGTGCGGGAGCTCCTGCGCTCGATGGGTCTCGGCGAGGGCGAGTACGAGCCCCGCGTCGTGCACCAGTTCCTGGACCTGGCCTACCGATACGTCGGAGACGTGCTCGGGGACGCCCAGGTCTACGCCGACCACGCCGGGAAGGCCCAGATCGACGCCGACGACGTCCGCCTCGCCATCCAGGCCAAGGTCAATTTCTCCTTCTCCCAGCCGCCGCCGCGCGAGGTACCAATCCCACCCAAAATCCTACCTTTTTGTTCTTCAATTTCGGCAAATCAGTTGGCTTCTATAATTATTTTCTTATATCCCGCCAACATCGTTGTTTTCTCCGTCGGCTGGTGTTACACGGTCGAATCCACCAACCCTAGTTATTGTGTTGCCCGTGTAGTTGAAACTTGATTTTGAATTAGTTTTGGTTTTGCTGGATTTGTTGGCCGAGAACTTGGGATTTCTTCCATTGTTTCTTAATAATACTCATTAGAGTTTTCCTGGCATCTCTCTAGTCTTGAAGTAGTATCTATTCTATGTAGTCTCGGTGAAATTATGTCTTTTAAATTTGTTAACTCGTCCCCGCTCAATTCCATTGAAAGAGAGATGGAAATGTCGACTTACAGCATAGGTTCAGATATGTTCAGAAATAGGTTCAATCCTAAAAGCCACATAGATCGGAGACGATAACATCATAATCCAAAACATAACCGGTAAGAGACGATTCAGAATTCTAAACTACTAGTACAAAAATTCATGTGTTGTAATAAATTCTTCTACAAATGAGGTAATGAAGTTTCTAAAGCTGCGTCTTCATCTATTCTAAAATGGTATTTGTCATCCCTGTGCTGCCTTGCAGAATATGGTGATCTTTTTACTTCCTACTACATGTCTATAACAATTTTAACTATTAATAAAACTTTGGCCTTACACTAGGATCATAATGTCTAGTAACTACCTTTCTTTTTTTTCTTTTTTTTTGGAAAGTTGAAAATCTCATTGCATCACCGACAAAGTACAGATATAGGGCGAAGATTGCCCCGTTCGAAATGTAACTGCCTTTCAAATGGGAAAATTACAGCTATTGCATCCCTTGCTACATAAGCTTTAAATGGTTCAGCTTAAGATGGATTGCCTATACCTAATAAATTTTGAAGGTACCCACCCAGTTGCATTTTGAAGTTATAGATGATTATATGTAGATGATGCCCGATTGATACTTGTAGGATTGAATTCTCTGTTGCATTAGGGTATTGTGTTTTGTTTTTATTTCATATTTCCCTCTGTTCTTAATCAAAGGTGAACTCTATGTAGCATAACACTATGGTTGTTGCATTGCACCTTGATACAGGAAGACCATAATTTATAGCTAAATTTAAATCATCTATCTTTTAATGATTCCTCCACATTCTTAAACACCATCAAAGACTAGTACTTGACAGAATACTAGAACTGCACTGGACTAATTTGCTTTCTCCTTTGGTTGCATTTGTACTTCTGCGTCGTATTTGTTTCTTGTGTGTCAAAATCTTCATTGTATGCATCTACCTATGACAAGGCTATTGGTACTTTTTGTCCAGATTCTTTGATGAAAACACACTGACTCACCAATTCCTATTAGATCTGCTATAATATTTGATCTGTTGACAAGTTCATACGAAGTACGGACCGACCTTTGAGCAGAACCACATAATCAAGTGTTCCATCTGACCATTCAGTGATAAAGTGGTGTTATGGATATGAAAAAAGTGTTTGGGTGCTTCTGACTACACCTAGCACTGAGTTTTAAGATGCATATCTGGAAGATTACAATGTTCCAACACAATTGATTTCTCCTTGCTTGTTATGAGGCATCAGCGGCATCACTAAGGATATTTGTTGCCTTATGAGAGACATCCTTAATATGTTGATAAGAGGTTTCTTTAAATGTGGTATTACTAAATACAAGTAACATGATCTCAGTTGATCCCTTGGACTCTGCACAAAAAAATTATAATATGTACTTGCTCGCCCAGAAAATGATACATCGCTTACCTAAGGAAGCTTGGGAAGTGCCAATTAACATTTGAAAAGAGTAAATTTATATCTTTCTTGCTTAGCTCATAATGAATAATCTTTCCAGTCACAAAGCACTGTTTCGGGACGTTTGTAGCCAACAATTTAAATTTTTGGCTGTATATTTAGATTTGGCTTGTGAAGCTTTGTTTCAAAAAACATTTTATTTTTTTTATTATAATTTGCTGAGGTTATTTAATATAATACAACAGATAATACTCTTAGCTTGTGTTTCATTAGTAGATCATATTGATCTCCAATATCACTTTTTCTTGTGATGGATTATACAGTGACAACTTGACCTTTTAGTGAACAATCTCTAAATTTGCTCTTTTATTCATGGTGGATTGCAAGACTCTTTCTGTTAGAGACAACTTTGACCTTTAGGGAATAGTCTCTATATTTGGAAGAGTTCTCGTCAGATGCAAAGAAAGAAAAGTAGAAAACATCAACCAACAGCTGAACCCAGCAACCAAAACCATCTTTTTGCCATCAAATTTAACCAACATGACTACAGAACTTTTATATTTTTATAAAGAACTTCTACTCGGACTAGAAAATCAAGTCATTGTTAGGCATCTTCAAATCATCCCACTAGAAAATCCGGAGCACGCTGGTTGATCTTCAGATTTTCCAAGTGGGCTACCACAATTCACAAGTCATTCATTACCTCTTTGTCTTGAGATGAGAATCCCAATGCCACAATATGTTAGTTGTACAAGCGTGTTATGGTATTAAGTATGTGCATTCACCTTGAAATAAGAAGATGTGATGCTGATAGATCATGCTTAGTCTACAGGGATCTCATATTGCCTTTTTATGTTCCTAGACTCCCTACTGCAAAGAAAGCCATTTATAAATATAGTTGTTGGATGTTGTCTTCTTAGCACAACTAAAAGTGTATGAGAGTTGTGGTGAAACACTGGAACTCATGTTTTGGTGTGTCTTCTCTGGTTATGGGCTACTCAACATTTTGAATCTAGGGGTTAGTAGGAAGCTCTTGTTATTTCATTGGATTCTTGAAAAGTTGATCTAATCTTCTCTGTAGAGAACGTGTGCATAGCAGTGTTTTAGGCTAACAAGTTATTTCCTCTTCTTGGTAGGTTCTCCTTGAGCTGGCCCGGAGCCGGAACAGAATACCTCTGCCCAAATCAATTGCTCCTCCTGGCTCAATTCCCCTCCCGCCTGAGCAGGATACACTGTTGGCCCAGAACTACCAACTCCTACCTCCGTTGAAGCCACCACCTCAATTTGAGGAAACAGAGGATGAGAATGAAGAATCCAACCCAAGTCTGACGCCAAACCCAGCAAATTCTAATCCAACCTTCTCGCAGGATCAGAGAAATAACGAGCAACAGCACACTCCCCAGCATGGTCAGAGGGTTTCATTCCAACTCAATGCTGTGGCAGCTGCTGCTGCAAAGCGTCCTCGGATGACCATTGATCAGCTGAACATGGGCTAACCATTCATCGTCGTTGGTTAGACTAGTATCCTTTTCCACATCCACTAGTCTGGAGAATCATGTTTTGAAGAGATTAGTGTTGTATTGGTATGATCTTATTGACTACCACCCACCTATTTAACCACGAGATGTGCAGTACAGCAGCAGCATAAGTTTCTGCCTGCAAGAACGTTGCTATAGGGAAGGAAAGCAACTGTGCTAGTAGTGTATTTTGTTCTTGCTTACTGCTACAATGGTATCTGGGTCTGCATGTTCTTAGTAAAATTATCATTCATCTCAAGAGGGCAAAAATTGCTTTATCAGTATTGCAAGTTACTTCCTCCGTTCCAAATTATAAAACTTTTTCGCTTTTCTAGATATGTTGGTTATGCTATGTATCTAAGTGTATAGCAAAAACTATATATCGAGAAAAGCCGAAATGTCGTATAATTTTTAGTATTAGTTATGATGGCACCAAGATTTTTATCCACAAGCAGGATTGAAACAATTAAAACATTGAACTAAAAAGAACATGAAAAACATAGTGCCCGACTCTTCCACCCCTTCATAGCTTTTGTTCCCTATATCACCCTGGCGAGTGGCCGTGAGGTGAGGCATGGAATCGATGCTCACGTCTACCCAACGTCCTCTACTGGACCAAGATTGAAAAAAAAAACACGTCCTCAAATAGACCTATCAAGAGCCTGTTAGATCCAGGCAGCTAATTGTTAGCTGCTAGCTAAAAGAAACCAGCTAATTACATTTTACTAGTAGCTAATTGTTAGCTGCTACTCCCTCCATAAAAAAACGTAATACTAGCTTTGAAACTAAAGTTAGAATTGCGCTTTTTTTTTACGGAGGGAGTATCTAAAAGAAGGTACCTAATAATTACTTTTTCCTAGCAACTAATTGTTACCTGCTAGCTAAAATAAGCCAGCTAATTACTTTTTATTAGCAGCTAATTGTTAGCTGCTAGCTAAATGAAGCCAGCTAATAATTACTTTTTACTAGCAGCTAATTGTTAGTTGCTAGCTAAAATAAGCCATCTAATTACTTTTTACTAGCTGCTACTCCCTCTATCCCTAAATAAATAAATTCCTAAAGTTGTTTTAAGTCAAATTTTTTAAACTTTGACCGAATTTCTTAAAAAACGTTAAGACTTATGGTATCAAATTAGTATCATTAGATTTATCATAAAATATATTTTCATAAGATGCTTATTTTATGACATAGATATTACTCTTTTCTATAAAGTTAGTAAAACTTTAAAAGTTTGACCGGCACAGATTTTAGAAATTAATTTATTTGGGGACGGAGGGAGTAATTGCTAAAAGAAGCTAGCTAATTACTTTTTACTAGCAGCTATTGTTAGTTGCTAGCTAAAAGAAGCCAGCTAATCACCTTTTACTAGCGAGGCTATTAGCTTAAACTTGTTTGGATCCTCCAACTAATAATTAGTAATAATTTGCAATTAAGAGCTAGCTAATGATTTTTTATTAGCTAAAGAGATCACTTTGAGCTATTAATTTGGTTATTGGCTAGGGTGTTTGCGTTCATTAGAGCTAATTTTAGCAGCTAGTTAGTCTGTTCGTTTGTTGGTTTCAGCCAGCCCAAACCAACCAGCCAACAGTGTTTTCCTCTCACAATAAATCAGCACCAGCAAACCCAAACCAGCCTAGAAACTAACCAGCGAACAGGCCGAGTAACTATTAGCTCGGAGGGTCTAAATATGACCCAAGTACTCCTACTAGACTACTAGAGTACTAGGACATGTTGAAAGCTCTAGCTTGGTTTCGGTGAATTGATGAAACTCTAAGTACTAACCTAGCTTATCAAGTGATCATGAGATAGGTAGCACACTCCAAGTGGTGAACCAAATGAAGATCATAGCATGATGATGATGATGGCATGGTGATGATCAAGTGCTTCGACTTGGAAAGAAGAAAGAGAAAAACAAAAAGTTTAAGGCAAAGGTATAATTTGTAGGAGCTATTTTGTTTTGGTGATCAAGACACTTAGAGAGTGTGATCACATTTAGGTTTGGTAGCCGTACTATTAAGAGGGGTGAAACTCGTATCGAAATACGGTTATCAAAGTGCCACTAGATGCTCTAACTCTTCGCATATGCATTTAGGATCTAGTGGAGTGCTAACACCCTTAAAAATATTTGTGAAAATATGCTAACACATGTGCACAAGGTGATACACTTGGTGGTTGGCACATTTGAGAAGGGTGAAAAAGATAGAAGTAAAAAGGAGTTAGTCACGCTGGTCACAAGGTGACCGGACGCTGGTCTCAGAAGGACCGGCGCGTCTGGTCAAACGTGACAGCATAGACTCCAGCTTCGGTCAAACGACCGGACGCTGAGTCTCAGACTGACTGGACGCTGAAAGGGTGCGTTCGGTCCCAGCTGATGTGGCAGCACAGTGGTCAGAGTAACTGACCGGACGCTGGCTGTGTCCGGTCAAGCATGACCGGACGCGTTTGGTCGTGAAATATCGTTTCTAGAACCTTACTGGAAACAACCGGACACTGGTGGCTCAGAGTTCGGTCAGTTTGTGCGCAGCGTCTGGTCAACAGACGACCGTTGAAATCTGACGAACAGCATTTGAAGCAGGGGACACGTGGCGTGTATCACGTTGTAAGGAAAATGGACCCTTGGCCCATTTAATTTGGATTTTGGTGTTTGATGACCAACACAACCAAATTGGACTAATGAATTTGCAAGTATTTTGTTTTGTAGTCCAATAGGGTGCAAGACGTGACTTGGACGAAGGCGACGTGATGATCTGATAATCAACACCTCAAGCAAGACCTTAGAAGCACAAGAAAATACCCAAGATGTCAAGCAAAGTCCAAGCATGAAGATATGAACCAAGCCGTGCGCAAGATCGCAAAGAAACGAGCTCGCAGAGGCGACCGGACGATGGACCGGACGCTGGAAGCGCGACCGGACGCTGGACCGGTGGCTCGGCAGACAGGCGACCGGACGCTGGTGGCAACCGACCGGACGTAGGAACGCAGCGTCCGATCGAGTACAGAGAGGTTCCAGGTGCGCGAAACTGCGACTGGACGCGTCCGGTGGCAGGCGACCGGACGCTGGCAGCATCCGATCGTAGTTCGCGGCTACAACGGTCAGGACGACCGGACGCGTCCGGTCAGGACGTTTCAGCGTCCGGTCAGTAGCAGTTTCGCGGGAGTTCGACCCCAACGGCTACTTTCTTAGTGGGGCTTATAAATACAACCCCCAACCGGCCATTTGAGAATAGTGGTGCTGAGGAAACATATCTAGGGTATTGATACACCATTTTAGTGATCTCCACTTGCATAGTGCTTAGTGTTTCATCAGGTGATTAGCGTAGGTGCTTTGCGAAGTGCTTAGGTTGATTAGACCACCGCTTATGCGCTTGCTCTAGGCATATGCCTAGTGTTTAGTGAGGTTTGCATACCTCTTACCACCCCGTGCTTGCGAGCACAAGAGTTGTACATCGGAGGGGCTTGAAGTCTTGCGAGATCGCACCAACCGCGTTTGTGGTGCGGCCGCCACCGTGTACCGAAGGGAACAAGGCCCGCGGCGTTTCGGCCGAAAGCTTGATAGTGAAGACGGCGGGGAGCATCCGGGAGAGGCTTGCCGGAAGGCACGTCGGAGACCCACTTGCACGTGGGGAAGGCCCGAGGCTATCCACGGAGTTACCCAACCGGGAGCTTGGCCCTTGCGAGGGATTCCTTGCGAGGGGCTCCAACGAGGACTAGGGGGAAGCTTGCGCGCTTCTCGATACCTCGGTAAAAATACCAGAGTCGTCGATGGGAGTTTGCATATCTCTACCTTGCTCTTTAAGCTTCCGCATTTACATTGATCATATTATTATCATTTGCGGTAGAGATAGCAACACACTAGCAAAACCGTAGTTGCACATCTAGATAGATTATCTTTTGCATAGGTTTTGCTAGAGGTAGAAAAAGAGGCCATAGCTTAAAGTTAGATTTTTAAGTTGCCTAATTCACCCCCCCTCTTAGGCGTCCACGTGTCCTACAAGTGGTATCAGAGCCGGTTGGCTCATATTTGGACCTTTGGCTTAACCGCCGTTGAGCCGACGCTATTGTAGAGTGGTTGGGATGGATACCGCTAGGCCTCCACAATTTGACGGCACTAACTTCTCATACTATAAAGCTAGAATGGCTTGCCACCTTGAGGCGGTTGATTTGGGTGTATGGAGAGTCACTCGTGACGGGATGAAACCCATCAAGAATCCCGAAAAACCCACAAAGAGTGATGAAAAAGAAATGCATTTTAATGCTAGAGCTAAGAATTGCTTGTTTGAATCATTTAGCATGGATGTGTTTAACCAAGTGTTCACCTTAAATACGGCACATGAACTTTGGTTAAAACTTCAAGAGCTCCATGACGGTACAAGTAATGTCCGTGAGCAAAAACATTGTCTAGCTAAGCAAAATTATGATTCCTTTACAATGAATGAAGATGAGCTTGTTCGTGATATGTATTCTCGATTGAATCTAATTATCAATGAGCTCCACTCTATAGGATTATTAAAGCTAGATGATGCGGACATCGTGAGGAAGATCATCTCCGTGCTACCACAAAAGAAATATGCAAGCATCATCACCATCCTTCACAACATGGAGAACTTGAGCACCATGACCCCGGACATTGTCATTGGCAAGCTAGTGGTATTTGAAATGTCACGTAAGATGGGTCAAGGAGAAGCATCTTCATCAAGCAAAGGCAAAGCTCTCGCTTGTAGCGAAAAGAAAAAGATGAAGGGCAAGAAAGTTGAGTCAAGCTCAAGCTCAAGCTCCTCAAGTGAAGAAGAAGAAGATGATGATGATGATGATGAACAAGAATCAAGTGATGATGATCAATCTTCCTCCTCCACCTCCGACCTTGATGAAGAATCAATCAAATTAATCAACAAGGTGGAGAAGATGATCCAAAGGCTCAATGTCAAGGGTGTGCCCATCTAAATTCAAGATCTCATTTTCACCAATCAAAGAAATGAGCA